AAGGAAGGAAGGAAGGAAGGAAGGAAGGAAGGAAGGAAGGAAGGAAAACAGAGATGATAGTTGTTCAGGATTATATAGGAATATAATAGCAGAGAAAACAAAACCCTAGATATCTGCTGTTTCTTTTGTATTTCTCTTTTCAGTAAGTGTCCCCCCACCCCTGCCCCATAATTAACCATCATATGGGGGAAAGTAAAGCAGAATTTTACTTTTGGGAGATACTTTTGTATTCTATAGATTATCTTTCTTTGAAGGGTATTTTTCTGTATTTTCTAGGTCATCAGATCCTTAAAGTACATCAAATAAAAGGAACTGTGCTCATTGGAGTCAATTTTGTGGATTATTCAGAGTCTGAAAGTCCAAAAGTGAGTGAAGATGGTTGTTTTGTCAGAAGAAATAGAAATTAAATAATTGAAATTTAAGATTCTTCTTTTGTAGTTGTCTTACAACTGATGTAAGTCTGAAAACTGTTACTTCTGTGATTCTGTTATCCTAGGCACATGAGAGAATACTGGAGTCTCCCCTTTCTGGACTGAGGAATTAGAAGTTTATATTCATCTTGTGGTTTTTTCACATTTCTAGGAACTTTCCAATGTGCCCAGATCTGCAACTGTGGAGCTGCTCCTGGTGGACGATGTTACTATATTGCCAGAGAATTCCACTATCTATAACCACCCTGATGTGAAGGTAGAAACTATATTAGTCTAGTTAAAAGCAAATATATTGGAAAGGATGATACTCTATTATTAAAACTAGCACTCTAGTTCAAAACAACACTTCACCTAATGTGTTGAAATCACATATACTATCCAGGTGTAATAAATAGTTGCAATACTAAAGTAATCATGTTTTATCATTGCTCCCTTAACTTTAATCCAGGGCTTTGAACTGGTTAAAATTAGCTTACATGTGTGGTCAACAAAATAAAAATATAATAAACCCACATTTTTTTAATTTTAGTCATCTAGAATACAAACAGGAACGGGAAAAATGACAGCTTAGGTCCTGGACTGGGAGACTGCAAAGAGGTAGTGAGTTCTTTAGGAAGCCTAATGTAGGGGAAAGTGAATTATTGCCAGAACTGTGGAGAATTACACACATTTAATGCAAAACAGTCAGCTACCATCTTGGGCTGGCCACCATTGTTTCCAATGAAAAGAAAAAGGTATTGGAGAATGGTTAGCATGTTGTTAATTACTTTATATCTTAGGTGTGTATATGATTGCTTGTTTATTATTTGTTATTAACAATACAGCACTTGTCTGTCAGTCTGCTGTGGTATAACTTGTGGGTACTGTGATGCTGGAAGCAATGCCACCAGTGTTTCAAGTTCCAGGAAGGTCCCATGCTGGATAGTTTGCAGGAAAGCCCCTATATTAAGACAGACTAGGAAGAAAGATTGGCTGTCCACTTTCATTATAACAGGCCTACAATAGCCCTATGCACAACAGAGGAACAGAAGTAACTACAGTATTAGAGGAAGAGCCCAAATGATAAGTACTCAAAAATAAAGAGAAACAGCTGCAAACAACCATTTGGAATATTTGGAATGTGTATGAATGTAGGAAAACTGGAAGTTGTCATAAATTAAATGGAATTCATGAATATTGATATTCCAAGCAATAATAAATTGAAATAGAGAGGGATAGGCCACTTTGAATCAGAAAGTCATATGGCTACTATGCCAGAAATGAAGAATTGAGGAAGAATGATGTTGCTTTCATATTTAAAATTACAATTTCAAAATCTATCCTAAAGTACAGTGTTGTAAGGTATAGGATACTACTCATATACATAGAAAGAAGACTTGTTCAATACGATTCTTATTCAAATATATGCCCAACAACTAAACCCAAAAAAAGAAGAAATTAAGGGTTTCTACCAATTTTTGCAGCCAGAGTGCTCTTAGGAGCAAAAATGATAAAGTATCATCTTACACAATTTGGGTATGTTTCTAGGAGAGGCTATTCCTTGGAGAGGGACATAATGTTTTGAAGGATAGAGGGCTGGTAAAAGAGAGGAAGACCCTCAACCAGATAGACTGACACAGTGACTACAGCAATGACTCAAATATGTCAGAGATTGTGAGAATGACCCAGGATAGGACAGGGTTCAGATTTTCGTTTATAGGGTTGTCATACATTTGTACATAGAGTTTTCAGAGGCCTGCTATTTCAGAAGTGGATGGCCAATCCTTCTTCCTAGTCTGTCTTAATGTGAATGTTCAGACTTAGAGAAGTATCAGACAGATTCTGAGGCTCCATCTAACATACTTTGGACATGTTGTGAGGAGAGACCGGTCCTTAGAGAGGGACATCATGCTTGGGAGGGTGGAGGGACAGCGCAGGAGAGGAAGGCCCTCTATGAGGTGGATTGATTCAGTGACTGGGACAATTGGGATGGGAGTGTCAGAGACAGTGCGATTGGCGCAGAATAGAGCAGAGTTTAGGGCTGTTGTACATAGGGTCGCTATGAGTCGCAAGCGACTCGACGGCACATAACAACAACAACAGGGTTGTCATGGGTCATACTCAACAGCATGTAACAACAGCCACCACCAACTTTTGCAGTCCAAAATTGACCAAACATTAGTCAAGATGCATGAATAGTTAGTTATTGGTGACTCTAATGCAAAAGTTAGAAACCATGAAGAAGGAATGGTAATTGGAAAATATGGTCTTTGTGAGATATATGAATCTGGAGATCGAAGGGTTGAATTTTTATTTATTCATAGCAAATATCTTTTTAAAAAAACACACACCAGGCGAGCTCTGGTGGCCTAGTGGCAAGAAGCTGCACTACAATCCCAGAGGTCGTTCAAATCCACCAGATGCTCTGCTGAAGAAGGAATAATCGCCTCCTGTACCAGTCAGATCCGATTTACAGTACACACATAAAAAATAATAATAATTTAAAAAAATTTTTAAAAACACCAAAAAAAGCAACTTTACACATGGAACTCACATGATAGAGATTGTAAAGGAATCAAATTGACCGTATATGTGGAAAGAATTATGGAAAAAGTTCAGTATCAACAATGAAAACAAGGCCAGTGCTGACTATGGAACAGACCATCAGTTAATTAATTCTGTGTAAATTCAGATTGAAAGTGAAGTAAATTAAAACTAATCTGCAAGAACCAATATGCAACCTTAAATCTATCCCACCTGAATCTAAAAATCATCTCAAGAACAGGTTTAAGGCAGTGTACATTAATGATCAAACACCAGAGAAGCTGTGGGATGACTTCAAGGATATCATCCAGGAAGAGAGTAATAGGCTATTACAAAGATGGGGTGGTGCGTGCAGGGAACATACAACAAAATAGATGTCAGGAGAGACTATGAAATTGCATTAGAACTCTAGGAAGCCAAAACAAAGGAAAGAAATGGTGAAGTAAAAGAGCTAATCAGCACCACAATAAGATAAAGGTAACAACCCAGTTGAAAATGGGCACAGGATACGAACAGACACTTCACCAAAGAAGACATTCAGATGGCTAGCAAGCACAAGAAGAAATGTTCAAAATCCCTAGCTCTAAGAGAGATGCAAATCGAAACAATTATGAGATATCATCACACCCCAGTAAGAATAGCAAAATTTAACAGAACAGCAAACAACAAATGCTGGTGAGGTTGTGGAAAAACTGGAACCATTATTCACTGTTGGTGGGAGTATAAAACCACTATGGAAGGCAGTGTGGCACTTTCTCAAAAAGTTGCAAATAGAAATACCATTTGACCCAGCAATTCCACTACTGGGAATATATCCCAAAGAGACCATAACTGAGATCCAAGAAGATATATGCACACACATGTTTATTGCTGCTTTGTTCACAGTAGTAAGGAGTTGGAAACAACCCAGGTGCCCATCAACAAACGAATGGCTAGAGAAGCTCTGGTATATTCACACAATGGAATACTATGCTGTATTGAAAAACAAGGAACTCATGAAATACTATACAAAATGGATGATCCTGAAGGATATTATGCTGAGTGAAATATGTCAGTCACAAAGGGACAAATACTGCATAATGCCACTGTTGTAAAGCAGGATTGACATCACAGTTGGAGGGGAAACTAAAAAGAGGGGATAAATAATATACTGCATTGAAATATATGAAGGAGAGAATTGTTTAAAAGGAATAAATGATTAGGTATTATTTTCATGACAAGAGTCCAGAATGAGAGCTGCATGGTAGAGTGGACTAGGGGGTGAGGATTGTATCATAATGAAAGAATTTTTTTTTTACTTTTCAAGGAGAAAAACCAACTGGGGGAGCAGTGGGCAGGCAGGAAAATGTGCAGCAATGAATGAATGGAAATAGTAAAAAAGTTTATTCCATTAGGAAGGAAAAAAGAGCTAATCAGAAAATTGTAAACGGCAGCCCAAGAAGACAAAGCAAGGCGAGCTCTGGTGGCCTAGAGGCAGGAGACTGCACTGCAATCCCAGAGGTTTGTGGTTCAAATCCACCAGATGCTCTGCTGAAGAAAGAAGAACAATCGCCTCCTGTACCAGTCAGATCCAATTTGATAGTACACACATAAAGAGAATAAATAAATAAATAAAAATTTTAAAAAAAGAAGACAAAGAAAAATATTTTTTTGATTTTTTGCAAAATATTATTAAAATATGCAAAGAGCTGGAGTGAGAGAATAAAAATGGAAAAACTCACTTGGTATTTCTCAAGCTGAAAGATCTGAAAATAAATTCATGCCTCGGGTTGTAATACTGAGAGATCTTGTGGGCAAGATCTAGAATGTTCTAGGAAGTAATAAGAGAAGCTGGAAGGAATACACAGTAATTGTACCAAAAATAATTGGTTGACACTAAAAAATTCAGGAAGTATATTATGAATAAGAGTCAAAAATAATGAAGATAGAGGCTCAAGCTGCACTGAAGGCATTGGCAAAAAATAGGTCCCAGGAATTAACAGGTACTAATTGAGATGTTTCAACTAACCTATGCAACCCTGGACATGTTCACCAGTCTAGGCTGGGAAATTTGGAGGAAAGCTGCCTGGCTGACTAACTGGAAGAGTTCCTATGCTCAAGAAAGGTAATCCAACAGAATATGGAAATTATCTAACAATATCATTAATATCACATATGAGCAAAATACTGCTGCATATAATCCAACAACAACTAGAACAGCACATTGACAAAGAACTTCCAGAAGGTTCAGGCTGAGTTTAGAAGAGATGATGGCACCAGGGATATCATTGCTGATGTCAGATGGATCCTGACTGAAAACAAAGAATACCGGAAGTTTTACCAAATGACAGCTTATACCACTAAAGAAAGAATACCAAAAGAATGTCTATTTGTGCTCTATTGTCTATGCAAAGGTATTTGACTATGTGGATCATAATGAATTATGGCTAAAATTGAAAAGAATCAGAATCCCAGAATACTTAATTGTGCTCATGCAAAACCTATAACTAGACCAAGAGGCTGCTATGTGAACAGAGCAAGAGAACACTAGATGGTTTAAAATCAGAAAAAGTGTGTGTCAGGGTGCCCCGGCCCGCAGGGTCTTCAACGAGGACCTAAGGAGGAAGAGTGGGACTGAGAAGGGACAAGCGGCATGAAGAATGGAGACAAGACAGGAGTCTGATCAAGTCTCAATTTATTAAAACTTTTCACAGGGCTTATATAGGAACCTGCCCAGCTGTCTTACTTGTTGCTATAGAAACCCAGCCTTAGGATATCAGTTTACAGCAAGAATGAGGAACATGCCTTAAGGCATTGAATTACAGGAACTGAGCCAGTGAGGCAAGCATTTTCCCAGGAATAGGCGGGGACTCAGAGCTGAACTCATCTGTAGACATGCCAGGCAGGCCTTTATGGAATGGCGTTTAGTGAGCAGTATAAAGCAACTTAGGCCTTAGGTCAGGAGCCTAAAAGGTGGCTCCCTACATCAGGGTTGTATTTTTCTCTCCATACCTATTTAATATGTAGGCTGAGAAAATCATTCGAGAGCTAGACTTTATGAAGAATGTGGCATCAGTATAGAAGTGTCATTAACAGCCTGAGTTATGCAGTTAATACATCCTTGCTTACTGAAAATGAGGAAGAGCCAAGGTGCTTGTTGCAGAAAATAAAATAATACAGTATTCAATATGGATTTCATCTCAACATCAAGAAAATAAAGATCCTCACCACAGGACCAACAGTCAGAATTATGAAAGATGGAGAAAGGATTGATTTCAATGATTTCATTCAACACTCTTGGTTACCAGCAGTTGGGAGATCAAGAGACAATGTATTGGGCAAGTCTGCTATCAGGGATGTCTCCAAAACACTGAAGAACAATAATGTCAATATGAAGACTAAAGCATACCTAATTCAGACCATGGTCTTTCCAGTCACTTGCTACACATCTGAGAACTGGACAATGAATAAGAATGACAGAAGAAGAATTGATGCCTTGATTTGTGTTGGCAAAGATAGATGTCTTAGAAAAAGTGCAGCCAGAATGCTCCTTGGGAGGTAAAGATGACAAAGTGTCATCTCTTATACAAGTGCGCATGTTTCTAAAAAAGACTAGTCCTTGGAAAGGGGCATCATGGTAGAGAGTTGGTGAAAAAGCAGAAGACTGCAAACAGATGGCTGTCGACTGGGCAGACACAGCACCTGCAGCAATGGACACATGTGTGTCAGAGATGCTGAGGACGGCATAGGATAGGGCAGAATTCAGGTCTGTTGATAAAACTGTGCTCAACCCGACAGTACCTAACAACAACAACATACCAAGAGCATGATGATTTTGCTTCTCAAAGGTGGATTAAGATTCTAGCAGGGCATCACCATCATTATTCCCATTCTGATTAGTATTCTGATTTACCCACATTTTAAAAATTCAGGTTTATTCAAGTGTTGCTTCATTGGCCATAATAGAAGTGCTTTAATCTTTTAATCCCATGCTTTTTCCAGGTATGTACTAATTATTTACTTATACTTCTTTATAAGGTCAAGGAGATTGAAATGGCATTTCTCTTCTTTTTTCTGTAGGAGATATTTAAGCTGACAGAAGGGTCTGGTTATTTTCTAGTCAATGGCAGTGAGCAGGATATCGTCACCATCACTCACCTGGAGACAGAAACCTCTGTCCAGGTGAGGTCCCTAATTGATGATCTCAGGCCAAAACTTACTCTTGTAAGAATGATTTTAAAAGTCTATTGTTCCTCTGAAACTTGTTACAAAAGTAATATTTCCAATCCTCCTATTTAAAAAGAGCACACAGAGATGCTTCATCTGAAATCAATGAGTATTATTGTTTATTTTCTGGTCAGTTTTTGCTTCTTGTTAGTTAAAAAAAGACTGTATAAGAGACAGCTCATTATAAAATTTTTCTTTAAAGGTTTATAGCTGGGAATTTCAAAGTTCATAACCATGTTGTTGTTGTTTTTATTTGCCATCAAGTTACCTGAGACTCATAGCAACTCTGTGTACAATAGTTCTGAAATCTGGCCTATCCTGAACCAGACTCACTATCCCCATCACACCTACTCCGTTACCCTGGTCCTTGAGTCAATCCATCTCAGCTGGGGTCTTCCTCTCCTGCGCTATCCCTCCACCCTTCCAAGTATTATGTTCCTCTCCAAGGACTGGTCCTTCCTGGCCACATGACCAAAATATGTGAGACAGAGCTTCAAAATCTTTGCCTTCTAGGAGCAGCCTAATTTCACCTTATCCAAGACACTTATTTATTCTCTTGGTAGTCCATTATATGTTCAATACTCTTCTCCAACACCACAACTCAAAGGCAACAATTCTTCTTCTGTCACCTTTGATCATTGTCCAACTCTCGGATGCATATTAAGTAATTGTGAGGATCATGGCCTTAATAAGGCGCACCCTTAGTCTTCAGACTGACATCTTTGCTCTTTAGCACTTTGGAGAGGTGCATGACAGCAGCTTTCCCCAATGCAATATTCATCTTTTTATTTCTTGACTGTCAGTGCCAAGACTGTTGATTATGGAGCTGAGCAAGCTGAAATTGTTAACTTCAAACTCTTCTCCATCCATTATGGTGCTGCCAATTGGCCCAGTTAAATATACTATCAACTTTATAGGGAACTCTGGTGGTCTAGCAGGAAGGACTTGCACTGCCAACTCAAAGGCTCATGCTTCAGATCCACCAGCTGTTCCACAGGAGAGAGATGGGCAGTCTCCCCTAAAGAGATTTACAGTCTCTGGAAACCTTCTGAAGGGTCAGCTATGAGGAGTCTCTGTCTCGGCAGCAGTGCGTGTGTGTATTAACTTTATAACTTGAGTATGTGATGTTTTCAGCCAGGATGTGACAACTCAAAATTTTAAGCTGACTTGAGAGTTAGTATCTCAAAAGATTTGCTTTTTAATTGACTTGTATAAATAAAATACCAGTAATGCTATAGGTATATATTCCCTTTTCTATTAAGAATTTAAAGAAATTTCACTTACATAAAAAAAGAAATGAGACTGAGGTAATATAACCCAGTGTGTGGGATTTCACAGTATTGTATATAAACTAGAGTCATTTTATTGTTAATTGTTGTTAGGTACTGTCTACTTCTAAGGGAACTAGAGTAACCAAAAACAACCCCAACACCATCAAGACAGCGTATCCCTTCCCCATGACGTTTTCTATTCTGTATTTATGGAAGCACACTGCCACATCTTCCTCCCATGAGAGGCTACTGGGTTCAAACTGCTGACCTTTCAGTTGGCAGCCAATCAATCATTTTCCTGAAAGTGCCATGAAGGCTCTTTCAGCTTTACAGTACAAGAAGTAAAACATAAAGTATTAACTCATTGCTTCTCTTTCCTTACTAATTAAAGCATCATTTAACAGACTTGATTTTTCTTCATGAAGGCCATTCCCTGTTAGTAGCTAAGGAGTAATTATATATGTTGAATTTCACTTTCATTCAATGAACTTAAATTCTATTTTTTTCAGTTAATATTTATTAGCTGGAAAAAATAAAATAAAAATGAAAATTTTTTTACATTTATTTAGACATTTGGAACAATATGTCAACAGAGAACTGCCAGATGTGCAGGCTGGATTTAGAAGAGGTCGTGGTACTAGGGATATTATAGCTAATGTTACATGGATCTTGGCAGAAAGCAAAGAATACCAGAAGAATGTCTATCTGTGCTTCATTGACTATGCAAAGGCTTTTGACTGTGTGGATCACAACAAGCTATGGCTGACTCTGAGAAGAATGGGAATCCCAGAACATTTGACTGTGCTAATACAAAACTTATACTTGGACCAAGAGGCAGTTGTCAGAACAGAGCAAGGAGACACTATATGGTTCAAAATCAAGAAGGGGGTTCACTTTTTTTCGTGTAAGCAAACGAAATGCCGTCAAGACTGAGGAAGATCTGGAAACTTCAGGGCCACGTGAGCCACGGCCACGGCCGCATTGGGAAGCACTGGAAGCACCCTGGAGGCCGAGGTAATGCTGGTGGTTTGCATCACCACAGGATCAACTTTGACAAATACCATCCAGGTTATTTTGGGAAGGTTGGTATGAGACATTACCACCTGAAGCAGAATCAGAGCTTCTGCTCAACTGTTAACCTTGACAAATTATGGACTTTGGTCAGTGAGCAGACAAGGGTAAATGCTGCAAAAAACAAGACTGGAGCTGCTCCTATCATTGATGTGGTTCGATCGGGCTACTACAAAGTCTTGGGGAAGGGAAAGCTCCCAAAGCAACCAGTCATTGTAAAGGCCAAATTCTTCAGCAGAAGAACTGAGGAGAAGATTAAGGGTTTTGGGGGGGCCTCTGTCCTCGTGGCTTGAGGCTGTGTTAATTACATGGAGGTTGGTTAATTAAATGTTTTCTCTTTAAAAAAAAAAAGAAGAAGAAGGGGGTTTATCAGGGATGTATTCTGTCTCCATACCTTTTCAATCTGTATGCAGAACAGATCATCACTATACAAATGTGGCATCAGGGTTGGTGGAAGAATCATCAACAACCTGCGTTATGTAGATGACACAACCCTGCTTGCGGAAACTGAGGAGGACCTGAAGCGCTTGCTGCAGAAGATCAAGGACTATAGCCTCCTATTTGGACTGAAAGCTCAACATCAAGAAAACAAAGATTCTCACCACTAGGCCAATTGGCAGCATCAGTATGGATGGTGAAGAGATTGAGATAGTTAACAGTTTTAGTTTGCTTGGCTCCACAATCAACACTCTTGGTAACAGCAGCCAGGAAATCAAGAGACGAATTGCATTGGGAAAGTCGGCTGTGAGGGACCTCTCAAGAGTACTGAAGAGCAATGACGTCAGACTGGAGACTAAGGTGCACCTGATCTGGGCTATAGTCTTCGCAATTACATGCTATACATCGGAGAGTTAGACAGTGAATAGGGTTGATAGAAAGAGAATTGATGCCTTTGAGCTGTGGTGCTGCAGAAGAGTGTTAAATATACCATGGACTGCTAGGAGAACAAACAGGTTTGTCCTGGAGAGGGTGAAGCCAGAAGACTCTTTGGAGTCAAGGATTCTGAAGCTTTGTCTGACATATTTTGGGCATGTTGCAAGGAGGGACTGGTCCTTGGGCGGCAAAGGAGAGGAAGACCTTCTATGAGATGGATTGATTCTGTGACTGGAGCAGCGGGAATAAGTGGGTTTGAGATGGCTAGGTTGGCACAGGATAGAAGAGCATTTAGAGCTCTTGTACCTAGGGTCACTATGAGTCGCAAACGACTCGATGGCACATAACAACAACAACAACAACAACCTATTTTGCCATGAATGAAACATATTTTAAGGGTCTGGCTTGTGCTGCGCCAAGACCTCTGAGTGTTCTCACTACAAAGGAAATAAATTTTCTTTTTCTCTTTGGGTGAAATAGTCGCTATGATCATGCTTGGAGTACACCTACTTCTTTACCTGCTACCGTCTTTTTCTTCCAGTTGGTTCCAGTACGTCCTGGTTTTATTACTTTGGAGGTGTATGATCTGTGCTTGGCTTTCTTGGGTCCAGCCATGGCCCACATCAGGGTGTCAGACATGCAAGAGCTGGAGCTTGATATGATTGATAAGGTGAGATATGTTTGCTTTATGTAATAAATGAAGTAGGTTTCATGCTTGCATCCATGATATATACTTAACATATCAATTTTTTATATCATATACTCTAGTAAATATGCACACAGAAAACTAATGTGTGAGGAAGTTTGGGGAAAGAAACTAAAACAAAAAAACCCAGATAATATATGTTATCTGCATAAAATACAGTAGTATTTGCTACTGTATACCAAGAGGGGCTAGTCCCTGGAAAAAAACACATTATGCTGGGAAAGGTGAGGAGTCAGGGAAATAAAGAAAGACTCTCAAGGGGGTGGATTAACATGGTGATTTTATTTTTTTTATTATTATTGTTATTATTTTTATGTGTGTGTACCGTCAAATCGGATCTGACAGGAGGAGATTGTCCCTCCTTCTCCAGCAAAGCATCTGGTGGATTCGAACTGCACACCTCTGGGATTGCAGTGCAGCTTCTTGCCACTAGGCCCCCAGAGCTCCCTAACACAGAGATTATTTATAACAATGGCCTCGAGCATAGTAGAGATTGTGACGATGGTATATAGGTATATATGCCTCTAGTTGGATTCCAATCTTCTGTTCTTAGGGTTGCTATGAGTTGTTTTTGGGTCAGTGGCACCTAACAACACCAGAACTATTGATGGTACTAATAAAAAAATACTAGCCCTGAAAAAACAACCTTTCAACATTAAACATAACTGAAGATAAATGGAATGTTAAAGAACTTAAAATAGTACACATAGATTAGATTTATTTGATCAAAGGCTGGCATAAACCAAAAAGTTTGTCCTCTAAGAGTTAGACTGCCCTTGGTAAATAAGACACCTACTAAAATCTACCTTTTCTTTTTAACATCTAGGTTGAGATAGGTAAGACTGTCTTAGTGACTGTGAGAGTTCTTGATTCTTCCAAAAACCCATTTCAGAATAAATACTTTAGAAATATGGAACTCAAACTGCAGTTAGCATCTGCCATTGTGACCCTGACGTGAGTACACTTTCAACACTTTTTAATGTTTGCTATCATGAAATTTTCCCTCCACCTCACCTAGCAAGTTCTCCCCTAGGTTATTTCGGATTCTTTCCTCTTCTTTGTCTTGTTTTCAGCCTGCATTTCCTTCCCACATTCAGCGTTCTACCATATACCCCTTCCATGTCTTCAAGCACTTTGTTTTGGGACTGAAATCATATGTCTCATTAATATTTCCATTGCCTGAAACTCCCTTTGGATGAACTAAGGAGAACCAAGTCTTATCACATAATTATGGCCAGTTCTTTTTCTGTAAAGCAAAGTGTTTTGCCCTCTCCACTAAGAACAATAATTCATTAAATTCATATCCTCTCAAGGGTGCTTTAGGTTACAGGACCTTAAAAAATGTGTTTATAAGCAGAGGTTTTGGTATTCCCCACCTGTAAAGAGGAAATACAGGAATTCCAGAACAATTTAGTACTTGTAATTCTTCCAGGGTATGTTTATATTTTCCTTGTTCCTTTGGAGCCCTAAAACAAGACTTTTGACCTTTCTAAGCTTTCTGCTATTGACATGAAATTTGTTTTGACTCTGGATATTTCTTCCAGGCAGCTCTCTGAAACAGTTAAAATGAGCAGAACATGTTAAACATCCTGGAAAGATGGATAATTTTTCTCCTCTCAAAATCAAATTTTTCTCACCTATAAACACATGGATCTTTGCAGGCTCATAGAAGAACAAGATGAGTATTCTGAGAATTATGTTCTTCGAGCTGTCACCATTGGACAAACTACACTTGTGGCTATTGCCAAGGACAAGATGGGGAGAAAATTCACGTCAACTCCTCGGCAAATTGAAGTAAGGAAACAATCTCATAAAAAATGCATTCATCTTAGTGTTTTGAATCTTTTTCTGTTTAGTTTGCTTAGATTGAAATCATTTGACTAGGAAAATAATGTCAATTGTCTACTTGCTACAATATGTAAGAGAACTTTTTCGTTATTTCTTGTATAAAACTAGTAACTATTTCTTGTGGAATACAAGTATAAAATGAAGGATATGTTATGTGGAAAACAAGTATAAAATTATAACTGAAAATTAACTATTACTACTTAGAAGCAAACTTTTTTTCCCATATGCTTATTTTACAATGGATGAATAATACTGCTTTCTATCACCTTACTTTTGTCAAAAGTCCTTTCTTATGTCAGTAAAAACTAATTGTTAAAAGGAGCTCTGTGGCTTAGCCGTAAGAAGCTGTGCTGCAATCTCAAAGGCATGTGGTTCAAATCCACCAGCTGCTCCTCGGGAAAAAGATGGGCCATCACTTCCCAAGTGAGTAACTTCCTCAGAAAACCTGATGGAGGATCATCTATGGGTCAGTTCTGACTTGATAGCACACAACAACCAAAAACTAATTGTTGGTAAAGTATTGATTAGACATTATGATTGATTACATTGATCAGTGATAATCAATGTTGTAAAAACCAAATTTCTATGAATGGTTGTATAAAAAAAAACAGTATGATTTATAAACTTTCCCTGAAATTTAAAAACAAACTTAATTGTTGACCATGTGTTAATAATTGTTGAAGTTATGTAATGGGTATCTGAGAATTCAACATATATTCTCTACATTTTCATTTTTTTTTAAACAATGAAAAAGAAAGTTAATTGTAAACATAATGGACATTTTTATCCCAGTGAATAGAGTATGTAATAACTTATTTAAGTATTCTAATTTTTACTATTTAAGTTTTCTTTATAATAAAATACAGATCTGTGTATAACTTCTTTGAATATGCTTAGGATTTTTTCCTTAGAATAAACTTTATGAAAATTTACTATAAAATTGACCCTAGTTAGTCACTATTCTCCTATTTGTTTCCTCCTTCAAGGTGTTTCCTCCATTCAGACTTGTTCCAGGGAAAATTACTCTGATTCCAACTAATATGATGCAGGTGATCTCAGAGACAGAGAAATGAGATTTACCTTTTCCTCATTCTTCTCCCTCTCCCTCTCCCTCTCCTTCTTTCCCTCTCCCTCTCCTTCTCCCTCTCCCTCTATCCCTCTCCCTCTCCCTCTCTCTCTCTCTCCTTCTCTCCCTTTCCCTCTCCCTCTTTCCTTCTCCCTTTCCCTCTTCCTCTCCCTGAGTGCCTCCTCTTGTCTGCACTTAACCAAATACCACAGGATCTGATTAAGAAGAAAATTAGTATTTTCTCTGGTCTGTGATGTACATGAGATAAAGTATGTCTTAAAATCCTGTGGGTCATTTGCAGAACTTCCATTTCTTGTGCTTTTTGATGTGGGATAAATTGGGAAATATGGGATGATGAAGCCAAGGTGCTTGGACAGACTGTTGGGAAAAGAGCTTGGCCTTCTCCCCATGCTCCAGGCACTCACTGGAATGTTTAAATTTCAGGTTATGTCCGAAGGTGGTCCGCAGCCCCAATCCATCATTCACTTTTCCATCAGTAATCAGACTGTAGCTGTTGTTAACAGGAGAGGGCAAGTTACAGGGAAGGTGGTTGGCACAGCTGTAGTACACGGCACCATCCAAACAGTAAATGAAGATACTGGCAAAGTCATTGTGTTTTCTCAGGTATGGATTCTTCTACTCTGCTTCTGCTCTTCTGGAAAACATATTGGGAGATGAATCAGTTATTAAGTGGACCTTAGCAGCCCATTTAAAGACAAAAGTCCTTTTAGTCTTCCTCTTCTGATAGTCTTTTTTAGCTAGGCATGGAAAGAATATAATCTTCAGTGAGAAACCCACAAAGAAGTTGGCAGTTTTGTAAGACACAGTTCTTGTCCTTAAGGAATTCTTTAAAAGCAGAAACAAGAACATCATATCTATAGTGTAAGACTTTTTGTTGACTGCCAAAAACAAACTAGTTCTAAGACTTTCTAGCTACTCACAAACACTTAGCCCAAGCTTGCTTTCCACTCTGTTGAGCAGGATGAAGTACAGGTTGAAGTTGTTCAGCTGAGGGCTGTGAGGATCCTTGCAGCTGCAACTCGACTCATCACAGCTACCAAGGTCGGTGTAAGGCTGGCTGCTGGGCTCGTTATTCTGAGAAGTCAAGCTTGGATATGTGTGCAGGACAGTATTCCTTTTTCTTTTCTTTTCTTTTTTTCCTCCTTTTTCTTTTCAGATGCCAGTTTATGTCATGGGAGTGACCAGTACTCAGACTCCCTTCTCCTTTAGCAATGCCAGACCTGGGCTCACATTCCACTGGTCCATGAACAAACGGGATGTGTTGGATCTAGTGCCCAGACATTCAGAGGTGTGAATTTGTTTGTTCTATTTCTATAGAGATCTCGATATTGGATTTCTTTTAGTTCATCATTAAGTTTCAGATTGACAAACGTTCTACTTCTAAACTATATGATATTATTGCTTACCACCCTTCCCTATTGTTTTGTGAACTGTGGAAACCTACAAATCATATGAAGAATCCAAATTTGAGTGCTCAGCTAATACCATGCAATGGTGAATACTTTCCTGGAAAATACTCTTAAAAGTGATATTTCCAAAGAAGAAAAAAGTAACATTTCATATAATATGGTTGTCGTTGTTGTTGTTGTTGTTATGTGCCGTCGAGTCGCTTGCGACTCATAGTGACCCTATGTACAACAGCCCTAAACTCCGCTCTGTCCTGTGCCAATCGCACTGTCTCTGACTCTCCCATCCCAATTATTCCAGTCACTGAATCAATCCACCTCATAGAGGGCCTTCCTCTCCTGCGCTGTCCCTCCACCCTCCCAAGCATGATGTCCCTCTCTAAGGACTGGTCTCTCCTCACAACATGTCCAAAGTATGTTAGATGGAGCCTCAGAATCCTTGTCTCCAAGGAGCCACCCGGTTTAACCCTTTCCAGGACAAATCTGTTTGTTTTCCTAGCAGTCCATGGTATTCTCAATACTCTTCTCCAGCACCACAGCTCAAAGGCATCAATTCTCCTTCTATCCTCCTTGGTCATTGTCCAACTCTCTGATGCATAACAAGTGATTGCAAAAACCATGGCCTGTACCAGACAAACCTTAGTCTCCAGAGAGACACCATTGCTCTTCAGTACTTTGGAGAGGTCCCTAACAGCAGACTTTCCCATGGCAATACGCCTTTTAATTTCCTGGCTGCTGGTGCCAAGACTGTTGACTATGGAGCCAAGCAAACTAAAGCTGTGTACAATCTCAATCTCTTCTCCATCCATCCTAATGCTGCCAATTGGTCCAGTGGTGAGAATCTTTGTCTTCTTGACATTGAGCCTCAATCCATATTGTAGGCTGCAGTCCTTGACACTCTGCAGCAGGCGCTTCAGATCCTCTTCAGTTTCAGCAAGCAGGGTTGTGTCATCTGCATAACGCAGGTTGTTGATAAATCATCCACCAATCTTGACCCCACCTTTCTCCTCATAGAGCCCAGCCTCCCGGATAATCTGTTCTGCATATAGGTTGAAAAGGTATGGAGATAGGATGCATCCCTGGCATACGCCCTTCCCAATTTTGAGCCATGCAGTGTTCCCTTGCTCTGTTCTGACGACTGCCTCCTGGTCCAAGTATAAGTTTCACATTAGAACGATCAAATGTTCTGGGATTCCCAGTCTTCTCAGAGTCAGCCATAGTTTGTTATGATCTACACAGTCAAATGCCTTTGCATAGTCAATGAAACACAGATAACACATTCCTCTGGTATTCCCTGCTTTCAGCCAAGATCCATCTAACATCAGCTACAATATCTCTAGTACCACGACCCCTTCTAAACCCAGCCTGGGCTTCTGGTAGTTCTCTATTGATGTGCTGTTCCAGTCGTTTTTAGATAATCTTCAGTAAAATCTTGCTTGCATGTGAAATCAGTGAGATTGTTCTGTAGTTTCCACATTCTGTTGGGTCACCTTTCTTTGGGATAGGAACAAATATCAATCTCTTCCAGTCAGTTGGCCAAGTGGTTGTTCTCCAGATTTCTTGGCACAACTTAGTGAGCATGTCCAGGGCAGCATCTGTTAACTGAAATATGTCAATTGGTATACCATCTATTCCTGGAGCCTTATTTTTTGCCATTTCCTTCAAAGCAGCCTGAACTTCTTCTTTCATCACCATAAGCTCTTGCTCATATGTTGTTTCATGAAATTCTTACATAGATGGACTATACTGTATAAATAGTACTTTTTGTATAAATTATATAGATATGGATATAGATATATAGAGATGTTTAAATATGTAATATATTACATATTTAATAATGTGTAATAATATGATTGTTAGAGGTCATTGAGTCACTATGACTCCTAGTGACCCTAGAATAATACTCTGGAATGAATAGAACATGTGTGTATTAGTGATATGTGCTGCATAATGAGTTGCTGATATGAACAGTAAGAAATAGGTGGATGCTACTGACAAAACGTAATGAGTTCACAGTGTTATTACTTGATAGCTTAATGAAACCCACTCAAGGGGATCTCCAGGACCTCAGCAGCTACCAGTTTGGGCTTTTAGAAGGAGATAGATATTGAGCCAAGGCACCCCGTAGGTCTCACAGCCCAGTGCCCAAGAGAGCAAAGAATTAGAGGTACGCTTTGGGAGAGAACAAAAGAATTACAGGAGCTAGAATTAAGAGGATATTTCTAGAATCAGTTACAAAGAAAAAGCATAAATCTAGAAAAAGCAAAGATCTCTTTGAATTCTTCTTTTTAAAAGTCTTGGGAGTGGGGGGGAAAGGCATGAGAAACTAATGATTGACTGTTCCTAAGTGTAGTTATCTTGGAATTGAGGAGAGAGAGGACAATTTGGTTCAGTTCTGCAGAGGAATTTGGCATTTTGTTGAATAGCAAATGGGAATCCTGTGAAAAGAGGAAGGCCTGGCCTTTAGATTCTGCTGTGCTGCTCTCTTCCTTCACCTCACTTAACCAAATCCTAACTCTTTCTTCTGGAGAACAAGTTATTTTCTTTTCTTGCCTCAGATGCCTCACAGGTTAATTAGATAATTAAATGGACAATAGAAATGTCTTGATGCCCCCAGGATGGATTTTCTACACTGTGACAATGTCACCACCTAGTGATTCAGTTGGCTTAGAGGTAAGGAGTTGCCAAACCCAAAGAAACATGGTTCGAATCCACCAGCTGCTCCAGACGAGAATGATGAGCCATCTCCTGTGTGATTCACTGCTTCTGAAAACCTGCTAGAAGGTCCACTGTGAGTCAGTTCTGACATGACGGTACATAACCACAAAAACAGTGATTCACTGAAGAGCCCTGATGGCACAGTGGTTAAGTACTCAGGCATTTACCAAACGGCCAGCAATTCAAACCCACCAGTACCTCCATAGGAGAAAGACATCACCATCTGCTTCCATAAAGATTGTTGTTCCTGTGTACCATTGAGTCAAAACCAGCCCATAGCTGACCCTCAATCAGGTTTTTCATTGGCAGTTAATTGCAAGGAAGGAGAGTACCCATCTCTCTCCTTTGGAACAACTGTTGGATTCAAACTTAGTATCTATGGGATGGCAGTGCAGCATTAGGCCACCCAGCCTGCGAAGTTGTATGGAGAAGTTCTACTCTGTCCTTTTGGGTCACTGTTGCTGGTGTATGCCATCAAGTCAGAGCAAACTCATAGCTGGATCTCCAGCAGGTTTTCTGAGGCAGTAGATCACACGGGAGGTGACTGCCAGTCCTTCTCCTGTGGAGTGGCTGGTGGATTCAAACTGGTGCTTTGGGATTACAGTGTAGCTTCTTACTACCAGGCCACCAGAGTTAGGGGTTGAAAATGATGTGACAGCAATAGGCTTGGTTTAGAGATTCATTTGAATTAAACAACTCATAAACTACTTCTTCTTGCACTTGAACTTTTTTCTAAATGATCAAGATCTATACAAAGAAAACAGGAAGTCTTTATATAGGGAATAAATAAGGGTCACAGAAGGGAGGAAAGAAAGTTTTAGAACTCTTTGGCTCTCTGTGAATCAGGAAAGCTTGGAGGAGAAACCTTGGCACTCTAGACAGCAAGAATGCAGAGGAGAGAGGACATGGAATGACCGGCAAAGGGAGGACAGTTTCGTCTTATTGTTGCTTTACCTTTCCTGATATCAAAATTCTGTCAAAGATGCATAGCAAGTAATTGAACAGGCACTCCTCAGTCTTTCAAACTGGCATCCTTGCTCGTTAGCATTTTCGAGTGACTTCACACTTTTCCCAGTGCAGCTCATCTTTTGATTGCCTGACTGCTGGTACCAAGGTTGTTAGTTGTGGATCCAGGTAAGATTAAATCACTGACAGTTTCTTTCTTTTGTCCAACTGTCATGATGTTGCATGTTGGCCCAGTTATGAAGACTTTTATTTTGTTGATGTTAAGATATAATCTATACCGAAGGCTGTAGTTCTTGATCTTCTGCAGCAAGTGCTTCAAGTCCTCTTCATTTTCAGCATAACATAGGTTGTTGATGCCATATTCCTTTTTTTCCCAACAAACAAAAATTATTTATTGAGTGCCTACTCTGTGCCAGTCACTATTCCAGAACTCCCTCAAGGAGAAAAAAAAAAAAGGTAGAGGCAGAAATGCAAATTCTGAGGGAGAGGAAAGGGGAAGTTGAGGAAGCCGGCTGAGGGAGCTGGGAAGCCCGAGGTGATAGGATAATCTGCCTTAAGCCCCCTCTTCAGCCTCCTCACTGAAATCTTCCTCCTCTTCTGCGATGGCATCTTGATATTGTTGGTACTCAGAAACGAGGTCATTCATGTTGCTCTCGGCCTCAGCGAACTCTATCTCATCCATAGCCTCACCGGTGGACCAGTGGAAGAAGGCCTTCCGGCAGAACATGGCAGTGACCTGCTCTGAGATGCACCTGAAGAGCTCCTGGATGGCAGTGCTGTTGCCAGTGAAGGTGACTGCCTTCGTGAGGCCACGGGACAGGATGTCACAGATAGTAGTCTTGACGTTGTTGGGGATCCATTCCACAAAGTAGCTGCTATTCTTATTTTGTACATTAAGCATCTACTCATCCACCTCCTTCATGGACATCTGTCCTCAGAAGACAGTGGCCACATTGAGGTAGCGGCCGTGGCAGGGGTCACAAGCAGCCATCATGCTCTTGGCATTGAAAACTTGCTAGGCTATCCGTGGAAACTGCTGCTACGAACATTCATGTACAAATTTTGGCTGGAATACCCGTTTTCAGTTCTCTTGGGCTCCACCCGGAAACAGCGCTCTTCACTTCGACACTCCCTTTTACGTCAGCATGGCTCGCCCGCTCGTCGGGTATTTAAATCCCATTGGCTGTGCGCTCACAGT